TTAGGTCTACATGTATAAAACTAGTCTCCCCTCATCTGCTTAGTCTAGGCTGTGGCGTGTGTCGATTCGCGTTCGTCCCGTACCGTGAATATTTTGAATGCGCAGTAAGTACGTCGCCTGAGATGCGTCTGAAGGTGTGTTTGCACTCCCGAATGGGTTTTTGTGTGAGGTGCCAAGTACGGAGGAATCACTGGTTATTACCGTCTTTAATCTACTTCGAGAAGCTGAAAATGGCGGTCCTGACGACACAGCATGCCTGAAGCTCTACCACCTGGTCTGATCTGATCTGATCGGCTCCTCGTCCAAAGTCTGATGGCGTGGCCGGTCAGTCTCCGAACTTCACAGTTAGGGATATGATATCACGTGACCGAACGTTGACGCACGGGTTGTCCCCATGTGTTGGAAGATGCTGAATGTAATGACCGAAACCTGAGAGTCAAACGCTGCTTTGTTTGTTCGTCACAAGCGACCACCCTCTGCAGCCATATCACGTACTTGCAGCTGGGACTCGGCCCTGAAACTGCAGAGCGAGCGATCAAGCGACTGCTGCTACGTGAATGTCGTCGAACTGTCTGTCGTGAAACGCTTCGTGGTCGGTCATTCAGACGCTGCAGCTCTTGTCTTACTTATTTTGTGATGGTTCTAATGACAGGTTTTAGCGTTAACGCGTTCGTAGAAATAGTGTTCCGTTTTGTTTGAAATTAATAATCAGTTTTGGCCACTGCCCATACTCTCTCCCACCCCACGCACAACCTTTCTTGTAGTTTGGTTTTAAACATCTTGCTCTGTATAATGCAAGCTCAGGGAAGTAAAAGCGTGTGTTTACTATATTTTACCTACAACTTTCGCAGTTATTGCTGTTATTATTATTATTATTATTATTATTATTATTATTCCATATATTCACTATTTTACAGGGAATTTACTTATATGTACCTGAGAAAAACTTTGTCCTTGAGGTACGTAATGCAGCAGCTACTTCTGAGACACGTTTTGTTTTTAATCCGTGTTACATGCATTAAATAGATTTCGCGTGAGGCATTATTATGCATTTTACATGAGCGTCTTTCGAATGATGTGTGATGTTCCTAGAATGGCGGTTTTCTGAAGTTCCCTAATGCCGTGTTCGCCCGGGATGTTGGCCAAATATTTTTTGAGGGATTTGGAGACAGTTCCAGTTGCTCCTGTTATCATTGGAATTACTTTTTCTTTTACTTATTATTATATTATCATCGCTGCGTTTGGGATACATGAACTGACTGGAAACGTGAAATTAAGCTGGATTAAGTTTCTGGACAAGATGTTCTTAATGTGGTTCTGCACATTCTTTTTATGTTCTCGTTAGTGTGTTCGTGTCTTGTACGTCTTAACAGATCACACGGCATTGAGAATTGATTTTTCCTCGTGTTTCGACAATTATTGACAGTGTCAATATATTTCCCAAATAACGACTTAAAATTAGTGGCACTGCTGGGTTCCTGGACTTGTCCATCGCCTATTAGCTTGTGCCGAACAGAGAGAACTTCCCGACCTCTGGCGAGGGAGTGTGACGAGGTAGAGTTTCCTCGCTCACTCTGTGGCCACAGTCATCCGACTGAAGCTGTGAAGAAAGACAGTGCCATCAGGTTTTGTCACAGGGAGAAAATTTACATCAAGTGCGTTCCTCTGAAACTTTGGGCACAAAGCCAAAATACTGCACCGCTGAGGACTCGAGAAGAGCCGTAGAAAACAGTTTAATACGGGTGCATTAACTTCTCCGATTAAAGGATTTTTTTTACAGATTGCAGTTTGACAATTTGTGCGTGGATCCTTGCCAGCAGAATCACCGTAATTAGGTGTCATTACGCACATAAACTTAAATGTGGACGTTTATGGCCTGCTACCTAATAAACCATTTGGTTTATTTGTGTTTCTGGTCTATTTATTATCTGGTAGACCTGCATTTTTTATCCATCGACGATGGTAAATGTTGTCTTTTACGCTGCTTAGGAAAACCTGTATTTTAATAGTTCAGCGCACCTGCTACGTTTTACATTTTTAGTTTTATCTTTATCAAAACAACTGTTTCTCCTGTACTGCGTGTTCCCCAAGCACCTCATTCAATGATTGCCGTAATATTACCTATGACCTATCATCGTGAGAGCCATTTGGAAAAAGAATGTGCTGTTGCAGTTCCTACAAACGGAGAAGTTACCGTATCCGTTTTCTGGTGCTTCTCCGGGTTGCCGAACGACGCGGTATTTTGGCAATGCGCCCGAAGCTTCAGACGAACCTACTGTCTGCACCATCAGAGCCAGCAGAATGAACGCTGCAGCCCGTGGTTATTACGAGCGAACTTGTGATCCGCGTCTGTCCATGTGGAAGCTGCGGGCATGAGACAGTGTGGCGAACGGGCGAGTGAACTCGGCGTCAGGCGAGGGGGCCTTCGAGTCGTCGGCAGTCATTTGCTTTTGTGTTACGAATGCGTCATGTCGTTGTGCTAGTGTAGGAACGAATGTGGTGAGGTGTTGATACTGCTGGAAAATATGGTTATAGTAGTCTGCGTTCAGCAAAGTGATCTGCGCGCTCTACTTGACATTGCTTTGTTTTCTTCAGTTGCAAATAATAAAATCTCTTGTACATATACCAGACAGAAAATGGTGGTCCAGAATTTTGGAAAATTGACCGTCTTGGTCCCTTGTGAGACTTTGTGTTGAGCTAAGTGCAGCTTCAGAAGAAACGGCTGTTAATTAGTTCCTCCTCGTCACATTTGAGCCGTCCTCATAATTCAGTTGTGCACGGTGTGTGGAATTTGTGCTTCGCTCGGAAATTTATGCGCCTGTGTTCGGACGGAAATATTAGTACGTGCTGGATGGAGACTTTGCAGCACAGACAAATTTCTGGCTGAAGCATTATGGATTTGTACTGTGCAGTGGGGTGGGGGAGAGGAAAATTTAATGACGACCATTGGTTACTACAGTAGGGTTGCGATTTGATGGCCATTGCGATCAGGACCGCCTCCGAAAGGCTCTGGCCGACATTACCAAGCGCTTTGCCGTTTGGTCTGTTTTTCCAGACGATTCTTTCCATCGCTAGTGTTCTGATATGTATTGTGACCGAGGTAAGCTTGCAACCGGGAGCTTCGGCGCCAGCTCCTCGTATGAAGAGCTGACGGTAGGGCTGCATTCTTCCGCCCGAGGTAGGGCTGCTGACGTCACACTCAGGTGGGGCCAAGATTCGTTGAACCGCGCCGCTACTTTGACATATTCTTGGTCGGGAGGTAAGTCGCAGACGGAATTCGATTTATCGAACATAACAGTCCCAGATTCGGGGCATGGTTGTTTACCTTCGATGTTATTCGATAGTAAAGGCGTTGCGATGGAATGATTTTTAAAAGAATTCTGTCGTAGAAACATCAACTCAAACAGTTCAGCCACGTGTGTTGCCAATTTATTGGTTATTTTATATTCTTGCGCTGTCTCTCCAGACGTTAAACCGTCCGGTTACACTTTTCCGCCATCAACTCACTTACGATGGCAGGTCTGGACTAAAACTTCTTCGGCGAGTGTAACTTTTTGTTGTTGAATTGGAAGTTTCTTGGCCGGGGGGTGACCCTGATCACTCATCCCCCATCTCGTGGCGAGGTTAAGAATGAGTAATAGCTGTACTGACTCTCCCCCTGAGCGCCTACGTGGCGCGTTTCAGGACAGCTTTTGTGCGAACGTGTGGGTGTGGTCACAGTTGTAAGAAGTTGATAGCGATTAGGTCATTAAAATGCTTCTTACCTCAAGGAATGAACCACTTGGACGCTCTTTCGTGTTCTTATGGGTGTGCGGACCGGCCGGTAGATGCGGACGTTTCGGAGACGCGCACTTTCTCCATATTCAGGGCTTTATTAATAAAATGAAATCTCAAAGCACAATCAGAGTGAACAAGACTTCTGCAGCTCACGCTCCGAGTAGTTCGCCCATTCTCCAGGCGAATAAGCCAAGGCTCTGAATGTTGTCAGAATGATGAGAGACGGAAGAAGGTAGCCGCGGGCAACAAGGAAAAATTGTTGGCAACTGACGATATTTGGGAGCTCCTTGTACTGCAAAGCGGAGTACACACTCTCCTACTTTTGCTGTTCATTGCCACCCAGTCTTAAACATTTTGTCTTTGTTCTTAGGCGCTATCCTTCGCCCTTTTAATCTTTGCTTGCCTTGTCCTACTTCCGTCGCTGGGGACTCAACGGTTGAAAATCATAAATGGCACTTCAGACGGCGCGAGAGATTAGCCTTGCCGTTGGTGTGACGTCATCGCAGTTTTGTTTTTGTTTTCCCACCAGTGTGACCTGCTGCTGAACAATGTTCCGGCGTCAAGCCTTGTCTAGACGTCGTGACGCGTAGGGCACGTCAAGTAATATTCTCTGAAGACAAAATGGAAGCCGTCGCACAAGTCCACGTTATTTGTATCGCGTTAGCTATTTCATCGATTGCGCTTGTGTTCTGATTAATGGTTTCCGAAAGTCCGTACCGCAAAGAAAACACCGCACTTCACCTTTACGAATATCAACCGGTTGATGCTGTTTAAGAAAATAATCGCGGTTTACAGTGTGAGAACCATACGAAACCCACTGAATACAGAATTTAAGAATTCCTGTTTCGTGTTTGACGTGATTTCGTTCAATAATCAGGTCGGTCACGAAGAATACAAGTTGCCATCCCCCTTGCCAGTGATATTCATGTATGATTCTTGCAGCAAATTGCCACAGAGTCGAAGTGTTTGCATACAGCACCATTCACCTACCTTGAAGACCTTGCCCCACATTTGGCAATGGGGAAAGGAAAATCATTCACGTAGCTGATCCCCGCCTCAGAAAATGTTGATTGTATTTGGCGGTCTTCCGTCTGATTCGCTTCTTTTAAGCGATGACGTGCCAGCTCCGAGACCAGTCATCGTCGTCGTAATACTCAGTGCACAGACTGTTCACTGGGCTGTATGATTTTCCTGCTTCATGAATGCGTCTCGGATTGTTGCAGGCGGCCGTTCATTGCCGTCGCATGAAGAGGCCAAAGGCGGTTCCGATGTGTCCCGTTTAAAGAAGCTTCATCGCCGTCGGTCTTCAAGCAGGAAGCGGAAAGGACGGCATGACCCGACTTCCGGCAGTCCAGCGACTTCGCGGCGAATCAGACGCCGCCAGCAAGGTCAGAACCTGTCGTCGTTCAAATTAGATTCCGGGATGGGCTCAAACGTCAGCCGGCATTCGGAGAAAGGTTTGTCCGGGCGTCGGACGCAGTCCAGCGGGAACTTATGCAACGGCAACAAAATCTTGGCGCCCAGCGTGGGCCGAATCCTCGTACCATGCAGCGGGGGCGTCGGTCCCAAAGATCGCAACAAGTTCTGTGGCTCTCTGCCGAACCACTTGGATTCCAAACACTGTGATCTCCCCGACGCTTGTTGCAATGGTAACAACAACAATGGCGAACACACCGTCCCCAAGAACGAATGCGACGACGTGGAGCTACGCCTCCATCCGCTGCCACCGCCGTACACCCTGGACCCCGCAGCGCTGCATGACCAAGGCTACGGGTCCGAGAGGTCTCCTGAGGAGGAGCACCCCCCGTCATTGCCCGGGATGCCGGAGCTGACCAGCAAGTACCCGTTCATCACAAGAGGTAAGGAGATATTTACGCTGTTTAATGCATTTCATCCACCACGCAGACAAGTCGCAACACTCATTTATCTTTCTGACGTGCGAAGGCTGACATCTCCTTCAGTAAACTCTGTGCTTCATTTAACTTGAAGGTACGGAATACTTTTATGGGGTCAGGGTTTTGGCACAAGCAACTGGCTGGAACATTGAACGGACAGGTTAAGCGGAAGTAACTTCGTGTGCGTCAACTCTCTTTGGATACAGACCTGCATCGTGTCATTTGACTTAACCTTCAAAATTATTTTCCAGGTGAATACGAGCTCAACTCTTGAAGTTGCAGATAATTTTCGCGTACCGTCCGCGATATTATTTTTTTTTTCTTCAGTCCTCGACAGATGTGTGACTAGCGAATGGGGCCCTCAGTAATGAAACGTTTGCCGACCCCTGATTTAAGGTGTGGTGACAGCTTCGAAGTATATGGGGTTCGCCGTTCGTTTCTTTTAGGAAACTTCTTTTTTCTGCATTGCATTTCACTTCGTAAAGATGAGACACGGGTGCTATTAGGAATGTGACAGTGATTTATTACCGTCAAGGGCGCGTTTTCTTTGACGCCTGGATAAAAGATGTGCACTGGGATGCCTTTCAATTTGAAAGGCAAATCTGCTCGTTCTCTGTGATCCACCTCAGATCATACGCCCATGAGGACAATGAGACAGTTTACAGCACTGGGAAGGATCCATATTTTGGTACCTGAGGGTAGGACAGTCACGTGTTAGGTTTAAACACTCTGGAGGTAGAGCAAACTTTAATAGCGGTTGGCTTATTCACATTTTTAAGAAGTGTTCGCCCAGGGACCAGGGCCACTAAAAGTAAGAGCTTCATATCAAGACTTGGAATGCAGGTTCATGTCAGTAAATTCTACGTAACGTCATGACGTGAACTTGGTCGAGAACTTTCTGGACTTTATGTAAATCTAACAGCACAGGGAACTGGTTTTCTGTTTCTACTGATGCACACCATACTGCAGACATGCGCGTTGATTGCTGTGGCTTCACACTGCAGAAGTCTGGGTTCAATGCCAGATCAGTCCACATGAGACTTCATTATTGCATCCATGCATGAAACCACAGCTTCCTTCCACATCTGATTCATCACTCGGAGTTATTCTGTTAGACAGTGCTGCATCAACTGTATACGTTCCACAGGGACACAGTATGGCCCTTGCGTAACTAAAAAGTGAACAAAAACCTATGCAGTTGGAGAAGCGTCTGCAAATACCCCAAGAACCAATACACCTCTTCTTTCAGTTCATAAGAAGGAATTTAGGAAATAAACGCACGAAGTAATAATTCTGGCGCGTACGCGAGAAAATATCCTTTGCGAATGGAACTAGTGACGTCATAGTTGCTTGAGCCAATGAACTACGTGGGTGGGTTACTGGCGCTTGTCCAACTGAATGATTGCGTCATCACGGTAAAGGCCTTGACGTCATTGCGCCTGGAATCAAGGTCATTTCGGTTGGGGAATTCGCCACCACACAGCCACTTGTGTGCGCAGAAACACACGAAGGTCGTTGTGCAAGGTGCCCGCTTTTAACCAAGACTCTGATATGTCCTCAGATTATAGTAAAACTCCCCAGTACCATTTTTTAAAATCGTTTCACGGGCGGACATGAAATCTTTTGGTTGTCGACACGTCTGAAACGCCTTATTTATCATGCGAGAATTGGATCGTAACTTGATGCCTGTCTCACTGGGGGTTATAATTTTTGGTGCAGTGCCAACCCACGTGGTCGGAAGAGACCAGACACTGACCACTGTTTTATACATTCGGAACGCTGCTTGGGCGAGTTTGGGTTATGGGACTCGGATGCCCGTAAGACGTAGCTAAAGGCTGCCCAGCCGTGGAAGAATCATGAGAGTCTTCTGAATGCACTTTCTCACAATGCGCAGTTCCGTTGAGAGTAGAGTGAATGCAGCGAAGACACGCGATGAAATCTTGGCGATTCACTCCTGCTTGAGGTGCCAGAACCGAATGGTGTAATGTCGTTGGAAGTGTGGAAGAAAATGCGTCTAGACAAAACTCCGAAAACACGCCCACGTTTTCGGAACAGGGCGCTAGATTTTGTTTGGGCTACTTCTAATCTCCGTCTTTCAGCAGCGTCGAACATTACGCCCTTGACAAACCCCAAGGCTGCCAACCCAAGATTTGTTGAGATTTCGGGTTATCATGACGGCGATTATTAAGACGATTTTTTTCTGGGGCGTTGCACCGTGTAGTTCGGCAGACTTTTTCCATCATACGAGAAGTTATTACTGCCTCCATCATCAGGGCGAGGCGCAACATTTCAGTTCGGACAGTCGTCGCTACCACATGTCGTTTGTCCATGACACACAGCGTGGCGTAGTGGCCGATCCAGCGACTCGTCCGTCGTCAAATGCTACTGGTACTGACTGCACTGTGATCAGGCGACCAGTAGCGTCTTCGCGTGGAAGTTCTGCTAGAATGCTCGTTGTTTATACAGCGCGTGCAGAACCGTTAGACAAACATGAACTATTCGAAGTGCAATGGGACAACATCTGTGCATTCCGCTCGCTCCAAGTGGACAGAGCGGGCTGTAGAAAGTCACGGCTCTTCAGACGATCGATCGATCGATCGATGTGTGTACTATACTAGAGCCCATCAGAATAATTTCTCACACTGTTAGCCTGTTTACGAACAGCGATTCTCTCAGTGTACTGGCTAGAACGATAGTCTCTTGTTCGGAAGGTACTGGGTTCGAATACGGTTTTGGACTCAAGGTCGTCTGCCTTGACTGCGGTTATTACAACACATTAAATAAGTTATCAATTATTATTGCAATTGGGGCGTTCCGCCTTCGAAGTCATTGCTCTGTGGCTCCTTCAAATATTTATCAGGCAATACACAATTTCCAACAGATTGTTTCTATATTGGATCACGGTCGAATGTGCTGTTCTCTGCTCGCCGCTGGTACGCGTACTCTGGACGGCTCTGCCCCGATGTTGGTGAACAAGTGATCAAGTTATGCTCGACCGCATTTAACTGCGTCGATGTGGAAATGGCATTCGTCATCTGCAGTCCACTTAGAACGTAAGCAATTTCCGGTGACGGACGTGGAATCTGCGTTGTGAGACCGACGATCACGTAAGACTCTTTTCATGCATGGTACGAGGCTCGTCCACAAAGTAAGTTTCCCTGGGGCCGTTTACAGAAACAAAACACAATTTCATGGAAATATTTATTGCAACAGATACAGCAAGTGTCCAGCTATTTTTCAACATATTCGCCACCGGAATTGAGACATTTGTCATACCGTGGGACCAACTTTTGAATCCCTGTGTCGTAGAAGTCTGCCGCCTGGGATTGGAACCACTGTGTGACAACCATCTCCGCCTCTCTGTCATTCTCAAAACGCTGACGCTGACCGGACAGGAATTTCTTGAGGTGTAGGAAAAGATGGAAATCACTGGGAGCGAGGTCCGGGCTGTAGGGTGAATGATTAAACACCTCCCAGCTGAACTCCTACAGAAGACTCGCTGTCCGTCGAGCCGTGTGCGGCCTAGCGTTATCACTGACCGCACTTCACAGTCGGCGGGAGCTGGAATAAAAACCTCCATCTTCAACAGCTGCAACGATTCTACTGTGAGAACTCGGGAATTACCGTTAGTGCATGCGCCATGCTACGTCATTGCTCTTTCACGTACGCACAGTCGCTTCGCGCAATATAAGGTTTGCTAGCTGTGGGATGAGTGGGAAACTTACTTTGTGGACGCGCCTCGTATTATTCATAAATTCTTCGATCAGAACAGTGCACCGCCCTCAGCGATTACTATCAGTAATTGAATTATTCTTCGTCAGTAAGGCGTTTGTGAAAGCAATGAACGGGTAACTGGCAAACACTGCTTAATAAAATTATACGGCACCAAGGAGAAATAGAATAAGACAGAATTAAAACCAAAACATAACCAGTCCAAACGTTTTCCCAAGAAGAGAAAGTTTCCTCAAGGAAGACATTGTTCTTGCTGGAAATGTCCAGAAGTCTGCACGTCATTTGCGACAGTGACGCACTCACCTGAAGAAGGACTGTCTTCTTCATGCACTGCCCACGCTGAAAGTAGCAAATTATCCCTGATGATGGAGGCAGCAAGGACCGGTATAAACTTCTACCAGACTCCATGGCGCCACAAGACTCGTCGCCGTGAAAAACTTAAATCCCACTAAAATCTACAAAATTGCATTTTCGGTCATTGATTTGTGAGAAGTGTGTGGGTTTGAAACCTGGTCTTTCACTATAACGGAAGAAGATGGCACGAGGAGGACGTTTTAAACTTTTTTTTTTGTATCCGTAAAATTCGAAATGTGACGTAAGATTATGGTTTCAGTAAATCGAGAAAGGGCGTGCGATTTTGGCCAAAGGATTTTTTCGCCGAGTAGTTGGTATGCCTGCAGAGTGCGAACAGTGGAGAAATGTTCGTGCGCTACCTGGTACGAATGCAGATTACGCGTGCCATCTACCGTGAAACTTTGCGTGAAGGTTATCATTGATTTGGATGTCAGTCACTTGGACAGGCAGAAATAGCTCAGGGCCAGGCAAAACAAAAGAGGAAGTAGATTGGACTGCGTCGAACTCGCCCTGTTATTAAGTTGTTCAAAGGGCTATAATTTCACGATTGCTTTGAGGACGTAATTGGTGATTGATCGTGTTCAAATTGAAACTTTTATAGAAACTCGGTGTGGGTAGAAAGAAATTGGCAGTAATTTATATCTGGGTGGGTGGTAGCTGGATTGGAGCGAAGCAAAGAGACGACTTTGAAGGATTTAGACATTGGTTCAATCTCGAAATCGCTCAGTGAGACAGCAGATCAAACCTTTTTGTTCTAGTAGTAGATTTCAAACCCCCGATTAGGAAACTCATTTGTCCAGGAAGTCGGCATTAATCAGCAGAAGGAAAGAGGAACACAAAACACTGCTTTATCTTAGGAATGACCCCCTGAACTGTAA